ATAACCACCAGCGCTAATTCGTTTAGTTTCTCCAGTTGTCACAAGCCTTGTTTCACCACACGGCAAACACCAGCCTTCACTGATTTAATTTACTTCAGCAGTTTCAACGACTTTGTGTGAGCTGAGGGGAATCACAGCCAACAAAATGTGTCTGAGGAAAATTTTTCCATGGCACCTTTATAGAAGGGCTCCAACCAAAGCTGCCTAGTGATGGATTACCATGCACCTTTGAAAGTGAGAGGATAAAAGTAGACAGTTTTCTACAGCACATATTTTGCACGTGCAGTTATGTTTAGTGCAGTATAAAGTTCCAGAACTTTCACCTCTGGATGGTACTTCATAATTGCAGAGAAAATCAGCCAGTGACTGAAAGAGGCTGAATAAAAGATCAGCGCACTATAAATTTTCTAAAATCTGGTTTACTGAAGAAGGAAAGCACGCTCCTTCAATAGAAGGACAAAAACATTGTTTGCCTTTTCCCACTCCATAAACAAGAAAAAAAGAAATAAAAACATTCTCTCCTGTAAGGTATGGAACCGCACCCTCAGAAATGAGTAGTTTTCTGATTACTCATTTGTTAAACTGTCTATACCGTGTTGTCTGTGAACAGTTCATAAAATTCTGATCCTCTGGCATGTGTTTATCTTTGGGCTGGACCAAATAGCTATGCAAACAGTTTATGAAAGAGATTATCTACAGTTACTTGGGGGAATATTTGCCCTCTCTGTTTTACGTGGAGAAACAATAAGGGTAAGCATATACTTAGCAAAAAGAAAAACAAAAGGAGAAGCAGAGGCTACCCAGCTGGTAAACGATATCAAGTACACAGTATGTTTGCTGAGTTTGTGTGGACTGATTTTCTCAAGTATCCTGAAACAAACAAGCCACTTTAACACACTGAAAAACTGTGGTGTAGTGCAAAACAGTGGAAGAGGAGGAACTTCCAAGAGCAATTTGTAACTGCTCCAGACTACTTTGGAGATAACATACATAAGTGAAAGACCTTCAATGAATACCAGGGCAGACATGTTCTTGCAAATCATGTTAGAGTCGTCTAAAAAATTATCATTTTTTCTCTCTCTGCTGAAGGCTACCCTTGCAACTGAGATACAGTAACTGATGTGAATTCTCCTTCTACATGCAGAGCAAAAAAAATCATTACTGAAGGCAGTAGGAATGTTTGTCTACATCCTTAGTCACAGGGGACCCTTTAGTGACTCAGTAAAATTCCATAAACATCTGAGAGCCTCAGTTTTTCATTTCCTGCCACTTGACTATTACGATAGCTGGAGAAGCTACTGTATTGAGCTCCTCTTTTCTCACTTTCCTATTAGTGCTGAAATGTTCACTACACTCAAACTGGTTCCTCTTAGACTACATATAAACTAACTGTCTCAGTTTGAAAGGCAATCTCAAGTCTAGCTCTTGATATGATGATGAACTGAAGTGGCCAGCAACTATGACATCACTGACCAAATAGGTTTGGTGAGAATTCATATGTTGAAGACATCAAGTAAGCCCCACTGGGATTCCTGATACAGGAAAATACTTAAGTGCTCAGTGCTTCAGTGCTTTTGGCAATGAAAAACACACACCACACTATTTTGTTTCTCAGACACTATGGCTCACGGAAAAACTAACTGAAATACTAAACACTTTTTTATGCTTCCTTTCACAGCTTTTTTATCATCACTGCTGATAAGTTTATTTCTCCAGGAGTTAAGATCCATTCCATTCCTAGCCTTAGTCAGACAAGTTATTTCATCTAATAGTCAAGTATTCACTTCACTGACCTGTGTAACTCTTCAGCCAAGTCAAATCATATTTATTTTAGCTTCACAGGCAGCATGACTTCTTTTTTCAAGTAAACTTCTATATTAAGCTTTGAAGTTTGAATGTTACCTTTCAGTTCCAAAACTGCAACTCTTTTATTCTTAATTGTCTGGTTTTCCTCAACGGTTTTGTCTTTTTATCCTTCAACGTGGTAAGACAGTATCATACAGTGAAATATTGTCTTATATGTACTTCAACAGATATTCTGAGAACCTTTCATACCATTAGTCAGAGAGTCTTTTTTAAAATATCTATGGACCATGTCCAAAGAGTTTTGGCCTAATTCAAGTATTTTTATTACCCCATGAAACTGCAGATATGCTGATGACTGAAATACAGGGTGGATGTTCCATGAGGAAACATCATGATTTAGGTCTCTTCATGCAAACAGAAATTCGTACTCTGTTCTCTACCTTTGATCACCCAATAATGACTGACATCTGTATATACTTTTACTAACATTTTATCTAACCAAGAAAAATTTAATAGACAGCTTTAATGTGAAGAGTAATGTTTTCTGGAGCGCACCCTGATAGGATTTTCAAATTGAGCTGAACCTTCAAAGGATATACCTCTGAGTCACAAAGCTATACCTCTCAAAATGACAAAAGTAATTTTTAATTAGGTTTCCTCCCAGATGAGAAACTGAATAAAAAGTAATTCAGTTAAGTGACAGGATGCTCATTTATTCATATTTATCACAAAATAAAATCTGTCACAGAATTTTAGACATAAGGTTTTAATTCAGTTTCTTAGAGTAAAACCTCTTACGGGAAAGCTTCTGTGTCTTTTCAAGTGCAACGTGAATTTAAAACTCCATCTGGTTGCATATAAACCCATTGCCGAGCTATAGTCAACTATCCTTTTAAATTTTTGACTCTTCTTATTGACAATTTATCATTGCAGAAAGTCCAAATCAGAATCATAGCCCTCCTGGGAAGGAGGAGCACTGAAAGGACAAGACATTCTCTACCTGAGACTGAATTCTGGTTTTCTGATGACTCTATCTTTTTAATTCTGCTGTATTTCATTCACTGCTCTCTCTGTTCGGAGTGTGTTTTAACTGAAGCTCTAGGCAACACCTTAAAAGACTTTTCTCTTTTCTATTGCTCAAGTTTTGTGATAGGATAAAAAGCTAAGTTTATTTTATGAATTTGAAACACAGTTGAGCTCCACATTAATAAAGAATCTCTCATGAGTTTACTATGAAGATACTCAATGAAAACCTTTCCACTAAATGTAAACAACTTACTCAACCCTTCACTAAAATTTGAGGCACCTCCATAAGGAAGCGGACAATTCAGTCTGTTTAACAGAGACAGACGCCTCTCAAGATTTTCAAAGGAAGACAGAGGCATTCCTCTCTCCACTGACAGCATAGAAAAAAAAGCAGGGATGCCAGGCTCCTCTGTCCACTTGAGATCCAGTCTTCTCTTGCTCTGAGAGTGATATTTGCATTCCTGGACATACAGTGGCTCAGGTTCAATGGACAGAGTAAAGGAGACTTGCCCAGCATACACTAGCCTTGTGAATCTGCTGGGATATGAAGATGTGAATTCAAACTCTCCCAGGCTGACTAAGGCCTACATCTCTACAATCCCTCTTCCTCCCAAAAAAGTGTAACACCTAGTAGAATATGACACAGAAGGAAGTGGCAGCACCACCACCAACAGGGAAGTTCAGCAAGTCCTGATCACCCCTGGCTTTTCTGGAGAATATGGGCAGAATCCAGCTACCTGTTCTCCTTTACCTGGATCTCAGCAACGTTCTGGGCAGCAGACAGGTTCTTTTCTCCTACAAAAAAGAGCATTTTGGATCTCGCATGGGTAGTGAAAGTGAGTAAGTTAGGGAACTTTCAGCAAAAATTCCAAGGCGCCCAATTCTCTGACGCCTGCACCCTGTCTCAATGTAAATAGGTGGATTGGATCATTGTCTGAGACTTAGGTAGTGGGGCCGACAGGGAATTGGTGCCTAGCTCTCAGTTGTTCCTTCTATAGTCAATGGACAGAGAAATGTTTCTTTGAAGGAAACATGAGATCTCAGATGGACTACCTGCCTTCTGGAAGTATCTGCCTTTCTTCATCAATCACTGAAGACTCCTAGAGAGTCCATGTTGCAAACTGCAGCATTCAGTTAAGTGCCTAAACTTTAGTGGGATGAATTTAGCACATTGGTGAATCATTGGAATGGATTTCTTTTTTTTTTTTTAACAGTTTCCTATTTAAAATACGTTTTCTGGTTTATTTCCTAAACTATGTCATAAACAAAAAGTGAAACTGATAGAGAACATGAGAGCCAAGTATATCCCTACTATAACTCCACTAGCGTCAATGGACGAGTTTTAATTCCACATAATTTATCTGTAAAATGTTTCAAGTACCATGCCTACACAGCTGCAGTGCCAGACTTTAGCAATACATACCCGGCCAGCACAGAGCATAGTCACACTTCCTTTCATGGCCTAGGAGGCAGCTGTCCCTATCCTCTGACAATTAACAGATGACACTGAGAATGCTCACAGAGAAGAAGTCTGGGAAATTCTCCACTTCAAGGCAGAGTGAGAGTAGCCTCCTCTCCTTATAAGAAAGCCTTTGGCTCCGCTTACACCTTTGCCAGCATTCCGTTAATGCTTAGCTCAGCTCCAGGTTCTTAATCCTATTAGTTAAAAGCAGGATGATTCGTTATTCCTATGCCTAGACTTGATGTTGCTTCACTAATGTAAAAATGGTCCCTGTACATCTTTCCATCTCAGTACAATAGAAAGCCTGCAAATTTTCAAATCAGTGAGACACTTTAACCCCATTAATTAATCCTTAATCCTTAATTAATTAAGAACAATCTGCCACTAAAACTGCTCAGAAGTTGAGAGTTATAAGACAAAATATTTCACAGAGTCTGATGTGGAAGTACAGTCAGTTTTGGTTGGTGCTTCTGACAATACATTTTTCAAAAGACCCAGAGTCTTCTCCACAACCAGTGATTTGATCCCACTGTTTTCTGATAGACAGTAGGTTTGGAAAATCCCTTCAAAGTAGGAGAGTGTCTTTATGCCTATTTTTCATTCATGTATTTACATCTACAGAAAATTCAGGAACACAGTGCGCTTTAAGACATCTTAAGCATCAATCAATTAAATTAATGACTGTACAGAAACAATGAATAATTACCTTCAAGTGTTTCTCCCTCTCCAGAAAGGGCTTCTCCTGCTCCAGAGGCATACAAGGCAGACACAGTCAATGCATACCTAGTGGCTTGATCTAAGCCTTTCAGCACTTTAGAGGTAGTGTCACCTTTCACAGTCACTTCCTTAGTTTCACCTCCTGCGACTGGAGTGTATGTTATAAAGTACTGCTGCACTTTGCCAGGAGCAGCACTCCAAGACAGCTTCATTGTTGATGTCGTAGCATCAGAAACTCTCAAATTTCTTGGATTTCCTCGAACTGCACATGTCAAAAGATGTTGAAAACAAGTTACAGCAAGCTTCATTTCTTGGTTTATTTTTTAGGTTACCACAACGTAGGACTTCATGCTGAAAAAATAATTCCTGAATAGCCTGTGCTACCACTGCTACAATATAACATCGCTGTAATCAGGACTGTACAATTCCTTCCCCATCCTCTTGAGGCAAAAATGTGCAACAAAGTATTTTTGCTCCTATTCTTTTTTCTGTTAAAACTACAGGCTAAATCCTGGAACACGCATACTAACACCTGAACATATGTTCAACTTCAACATGACAAGATCCATGTTGAAGCCACTGCCTGCAGAATCAAGTCAAAGATGACCAATGAAATGTGAAATTAACACATTATGGTTGCCTACAGAGCTCTTTTTGATGATAGTTTTTCTAGTTTCTAATATTTAAAATATCAGTGAACTTTCATCAGTGATCGGGACATTCGTAATGTCTTTGTACTCTTAGGATTTCTTTTAATGAGGCATGATACCTGTTAAAGGATCATAAGTTTTCATGCAAGTTAAGGCTACAGTGATAACTTTAGTAAATAAAACATTTCACTCATTCCTTGCTAGTCATTCAGAGCAAAGTGCAAACAGGGTCTGAATTTGCTGAAAAGAAATGTAATTTCTATCATTGACAACATGAAGAACCATGAGGACAGTTAATTAAACATACAGGTAGTTTCTTCACTCAAGTTACCTTGCTATATTAGGTGTTGCAGGTTCAATATACTGTATTTTAAAATAAAATATTACAATTTTGATAAATTATATTTTCTTAAATTACCTCGCCACTAGGTTTGAGTAATTCCCTGCTCATCTAGGATAATACAAATGGCTAATATGGATTATTCTCTTTTCAGTATGAGTATGTCAGCATACAGGGAGTTCTTCTCAAGCTTACTACATTCACAGCATCGATCACATACCTTCATCAGTTTTTGCATATCCATTTAGTGAATTCCCAGGCCCAGACTGATACTCAGGAATAACAGACACTTCATATCTTGTATCTTGGATCAAGTTCTGCAGAGTAGTTGATCTTTCGTTTGCTGAGACAGTCACTTGTCTTGTTTCTCCTCCAGTAAGCGGTCTATATACAAGCCTGTACCGAAGAACATTTCCGGGAGCTGGGGTCCAGCCAACTACAAAGCTATCAGTAGTTTCATCTGTTATCCTTAAGTTTCGAGGAGCACCTTTAACTACAAAAAATATACACATGTAGCTTGTAAATATTTGCTTTTAATCAAGTAATAATTGCAATGAAACCATTCCAACCATTCTGTTAGCTCATCCAATTTACCAAAACAAGAGCTTATATTGCCCTCACATTGTTTTAAGTCACACAAACCATTAGTCATTTCTGAAAATTTAGGGCCAGAGTTGCAATCGGCAGTTAATAAATTTGTCCTCAAAAGTACGTTAATCCCAGTTTATACAACCGCTTCTGAAACTTAAGACAGTCAGACTGTGTTTAGCATAACAGTAGAACTGAACTGTGTAAATGACATTTGGGCATAGTGGGGACATTTCTTAACACAACAAACCATATAGGTTTCTTTGCTATGGCCATTTCCTTCTGCACCATCTCCATTTACAGATAGTTATTCAGATATGCCTGACTACACACAGGCAGCTCTCTTATTTCAAAGAAATGACCAAGGTAAATGAAACAGGAAAAATAAAAATAATCTATCTCAGTTAAATTTTCACAACAAAAAATATATTCATTGCAATATGAGTTGCATCTAAAGTTTAAAAAAGGCTTCCAAATTAAGTCTCAAACTCCAAGACAAGAAATAGCTCATTATCCCAGAAATTAAGTAAAAACTGTTGTGAATGATTTAACCTAGCCTGCTCCTTGAAAAACGATATAGCAGCTCAGGTCATTTCATATGCGCTCAATGGGCACACCAAAGGACTTGACTTTTCCAACAGATATTAAGGTTTACTGTACTACAAGTTGCCTAGCAGTATGTAGCATTGTCATTTAGGCAAAAAAAGTTTTGGTTTTGATGATTTACTATCTAAAGTCTAATTCAACTGGAATGCCAAAAGCATTGTTCTTCAGTGTTAAATTACAGACTTGTTAAGAGTGGAGCAATTAATGATCCTAGTTTTAAAGAAAGGAACTTGTTTTCTACTAATCAGAAACACAATACTCAATTTCAAATTCTTTAAAATCCTGAAACCTTTGGTTTCTTGGCCAGCTGCCAAGAAAGCTGTCTGGCCCAAATTGATAGCTAGATCTGCATGGAGAGCTGCTGCTGTTTACACGATTGCAGAAGAACTCTATCTTCTCAGACATGTTGGGATTTTATCAGATAGAGATGCACAATTATTTAAGGAAACATCAGTTACAACATGGGAACATTGATTATTTTTATTAAAGCTATTCTTCCTCCTGTCCCTTACATGCACAAGCTACATACTCTATCAGCCAAGAGTTTGCCTGTTTTCCTGTGGCCAAACCATTCTGACTGGTACAGTCATGGAAATACGCGCACCAACAGTGAAACCTGTATCTTCCAAACTTAACATCCAAACTAAGCTATTTTATAAACGTGTATCTCTATCAGTCCTAAGAGGAAAGAGCAATTAACAAATTTCCATGCTGTTTCTTTTGCTCCCTTGGACCCATTTACGTCATCAAAGGTCACAAATGACAGCATGGAATAATGAAAAAGAGTGGATCGATATTTTTAAAAGCATGATTTAGACTAGGCTGAGTATTCAACTACTGAAATAGAAAATCAAATTTACTGTCATCCTTCTCCCTTAAATCAGTGGAAATGCATCACGGCAACTCTTATCAAGAAAAAGTACAGCTACCATGCTTAAATTTACAGCCATTGATCACATAAACTCACACTGACATCAATGGAAGTTTTGAATCAGTAAGAGTTATTGGATCAGATCCATGAAGTTCTGATGAGAAACAGCTGATTAAAAACTCAGGCCCCTTTAAGTCTATGATATACAAAACAGAATTTCTATTAATGTAACTTAGATGTAAACACAGCAGATTACACAGGTACACACTGGACTTTAAATGTATTAAAGTCAACATGCATTCCTATATTAAACAGAGAAGAATAGTTCAGTTGGAAGGGACCTACAACAATCATCTAGTCCAACTTAAATGTAGATTAAGATTAATACATGCCAATGAATTTGTTATTGACAACACATCATTCAAAAATGGGTCTCTACAGACAAACAGCATCTCAAGGAAAATAAAATCCAATCTTAACAATTTAATGTTGGCCTACTGCTGGAATTTTATATCTTTACTAAATGCACCGAGATGCAGTAATGATTATTCTCATCCTTCATACCAGTATAGCTTCTTGGCCTTAGCTGGCTGTTTCGCATACAGCCATTCTCTCAAAAGTAAATTCTTATTTGAACATCCAACCTTTTTGTGACTGAGAATAATGGAAAGCCTACCTTCTAAGGTGGTTTCCTCTCCATCTAAGGGAGGGCCATCACCATCTTCATATTCAGAAATCACACTGACTGCGTAAGTAGTTTCAGGTAGCAAGTTGGTGAGAACTGAGCTAGTACTTGAAGCTGGTACAGAAACAATGAACTCATCTCCACCGACCGCCACTTTATATTTAATGAGATAGGACAAAACCTCAGATCCAGCTGGAGACCAGCTCACTCTGAAACTGTCAGATGTTACATCAGAAAAGACCATATTCTTTGCAGGTACGTAAGCTGTAGGAAATAAAAACACACAGATGAGGCATACTTGCTACTATATTTTTTAAACACAAGATCTCTAAAATAAGTCAAAAATGTCCCTCAATACTTTGATTTATTCTAATTGAACAGATATTTTGTCGCACATACAACAGTATTTGTTTTCTATACTTGTTTATAGCTATCAAATTTCATAAAGATCATATCTAGGTTGTCCCAAATCATATGACCATGAGTAGAAGCACCAACTCAGTGATTTCCAGATCAAATGCAAACAGTCTATCTGAAAAAATGCACTTATGGAAACTTAAGTTAGAATCTGATGACCACATTGGGTTCCCTCTTTCATATGTCCCATGAACAGCAATAACATTATGCCCTCAATGGGAACTAAGAATCCTTGTGTTTTTTCAAATCTATATTAAAAATAGGACAAAATAAATCCCAGTAATTTTTCAGGAATGGAGTCAAAGGGGAAACAAGGAACTTGACATGAGGCACAAACACAAACCTGACATCCTGGGCTTGTTTTGCTTGGCCTAGTCAGCCTAACAGTGGGGATGTTAAGACTGCTTGAGCCCTCTAAAACAAAGGCTGCTTTGCTGGTTTGTTCCTCAAAGCTATCCTGAAACAGAAGGCTTATTTTTAAAGAGAGTGGGGTTTTCAATACTGGGGACTATTCAATGTTAGTGTTCTACTAAACATAGGTAGGGACACTGAGGCTGCAAATAATCATAAATAACTTTAGCTGACCAAAAGTTGGTCATTTGGAAATCTTCTAAATATTAAACATTATCCAAGGTCACCAAATCTGGATGCATGTGAAGACTTTCATGTGCTACTTCATTTCAGTCTTTACAGTTACATTGAGATTAATATCACCTAGCATCTGCTGTCTCAAATTGTCTTGTCTAAGCCCATTTCAGAGGGCCATTCGTTTTACCCTAAAAATTAATCAAATTACCCTTTGGAGGTGTTGGCATTGGTTCATTGCCTTTGAAATTCTAAAAGACAAGAGCAGACTAACTACCTACTAGCTATTTTGTACAGCTAAAGAAGAATAGCCCTAGTAAGTAACTGTTTTACTCAAGACATCGAATGCAAAAGCAGAGTACATCCGCTGAAGTCATTCTAGATAGACACAAACTTTAATAGCTTTCTAGGTATCCAGGAGGGGAGGGGAAAAAATATTTCTCCAATAATTTTTTCATCTTGATTTCTCCATTAATTTCCCCCATTGTTTTTAATATGTTTGAAGACGAGAACCAAATCCCCAGTTATTAAAAGTATCATTTGTATAAGGACAATTTCATCAATATCAATTCTTCAGTTAACTACAAGCACAAAACATTGGTTCATATCTGTTTTAATTGAATTTTCTACATTTTTCTAAGTAATAGTTGTTACTTACATTTTTTCCTTATAGCAGCCAGTTCCTGCTCAATCCGTAGGCAGACAGACTGTGTAAGTTCAAATGATATTCTTTGAAAGGCGTCAAAATCTTCCACTGTGTAAACGTGAGTTTCATCAGGAGGTGATGCAATTGCTTCTAACTCTGTACGCACTGCATCCTTCACACCAACTGCAAATATTTCTACATCTGCATCCCTCAGCTTTATTGCAGGTTCTTTAAAAGCATCTGACGATTTTCCATCAGTAATAAGAATCATGACTCTCGGTACATTTGGTCTTGATCCTTTGCTGGTAACAAATACTTTCTCCCTCACATATGTCATCGCTTTGCCTGTGTTGGTAGATCCACCTCTGTAGGGGAAGGTGTTAATAGCCTGAATTATGTCTTCCACTCTGTTGTATCTGTTCAAAGAAAACTCCATATGGGGATCTCTGCTGTACTGGACAAGACTTATCTGTACTTTTCGAGGCGATATCTCAAAGCTTTTAACTAAAACTTCCAAAAAGGCTCTTACTTTAACAAAATTGGCGATACCAATGCTGTAGGAACCATCCACTAAAAACACAACATCAGCCTTTACATCCACACCACGTGAGCATTCTGTAAAGAAACAGAATTACCACTATAAACAGATATTCAATAGCCACAGCATTACAACTGCATCTGCAGTTCATATATCATACCCGGTTGCTTACAAAGGAAATAAACCATTCTAAGTAAAGCTGTTTCTCATGAATAATAAAGGTATGGTGTTAAAACAAGCATCAGAGTTTTAAACAACAAAAAGCTACTGTGTGAAAATAACATAGTAGCTCCCAACTCACCCACTTGAACTTTTACTTGTTGTGTTTTTTCCATTATCGTTATTGGCTCACTGGGGGTCAGTCCTTTCATTGCATAAACATTAATTTGATACTCTGTGTCTGGAGAGAGATCTTTAACATTTAGAGCAGTAGTCTGAGGTCCCACACTCAGTACATGTTGTTTTCCACCAGCTATCATTGGAATGAACTGAAGCCGATAGCCAGTTATTTGGCTTGTGGATGGATCCCAAGTGATCCTAACAGATTTTGAGGAGATCTGAGTAGCCACCAGATTTGAAGGAGGCTCCACCACTGAAAGAAATCAAAAGCAAACCCAAAATATTAATTACAATTATTAACATATTTTCTTGCACATTTTTATTTCTGGAAAAATTTAGTCATCTTTGCTTAATCTTTACTAAAAATCAGATTTTTTTTAACATAAATAAACACAAGTGAATTATTGGACAGTCCAAATGGGGCATCAATGAGAGGGAATAAATATGAGCAATACATTTGTGGCCCCCTGAGTGTAGTAGAAGTTCCAGGAGAAATGCTGTCTTGCTTTAATACTGTTTCAATCAGAAATGAGAGCTACACCCACAGAAACACAGTAGAGAGTGTGAGCCTGAGCAGAGCATTATAACAGTAGAGTCATCCCTGCTGTCATTATGGTCCAAGAATAACTAGTTACTTAGAGTCTTACAGGGCCAGAAAGCTGCAATGATACAGCTTGATGTTCACGTTTTCTCAGCATTCTCCAGTTTTCGTTCCTCAGTTCTTAACCTATTACATATTTTGCCCCTTCACCAAGCAGTTTTTTTCCCTTTAGTACATTTTTCCATAGAAGTGATGCCTGTGTCCAAATTAACTCTATGAGACTCTGATAACTGCACATCACTGCATTTACCCTTGAAATCATGGAATAATGGTGCTATTCCAAATCTACTGCATCACATGTTCTGTTCTCTATTTACATGCTGAAAGCTGAGATCTGTTTTCCACACTTACTAAACAAGACAACGGATCAAACTCCAAAAATAAAGCAAAGGAAGTGGAGATAGACCCTTAAACATGCACCAGAGTAAACTGAAGTCAATAAATATATTTATATAAAGCACCCTACCTTCTTCTCCACTAACCAGTTCACCTAGTTGTTCATCAACACCAGAGCACACCTGAAGGATAATTTCATTCTGAATATCCACAATTCCATCAAAATTAGCCACATTGAACACATGCTTCAGTGAAGGCTGAGATGCAATCAGCTTGAGTTCCTTTGCATCTGCTGCTTTGATTCCTAGAAGTTGCAATAGACAGGACTGTGTTAAGTGACCATAAAACACAGACACCTGTGAATGTGTTCATAAAGTATCAAAATATCCTGGGGTAAAGCTGAGTTTAATTCAGTTCTGTCTTCTGTCATTATCAATAATCAAACTATAAAATAATTATTAACACAATGAGGTGACATACTTCATTTTCAACCTGAGAAAATAACGTGCTGTCTTCAATAAGGCCTAGATTGAAACTGTGCTTGTCAGCCATCTTAATCTCCGTGTAGGACCTACAGAATTACTATCAAATTAACAGAACTGGTACGTTCCACACTGGAGGGTGCAAACAACCCATTTCAAAGCACAAACATGGAAAGAGAGGCATAGAAAAATTCTTGAAACACACAATCAGCAAAATACATAACTAACTTCTTTAGGAATGCTAATCTCTCATTCCTTAGAAAAACTCAACGTACCCAAAGAAAAAACTTCAACTCCTATGTTGCGAAGCTCTCTTGCAGGAATTTCAACTTCATCTTGAGCTTTTCCATCCGTAATGACAATTGCTACTTTGGGAAAGCCTTTTCTTGCTCCAGCAGACTCAGTGAAGGTGTTTTGAACCAGGTAATCAATAGCCTCACCTAAAAACACCACCACAAGTTGTGCTTTATGAGGCTTGAATGAACTAGAATTTAAAGCAAGTTTGAATTATAAAATGAAATGCTGAATAAACACGTATGTGGGAAATCTGTACCTGTCATTGTGTTGCCACCTTTGTAAGGTATCCTTTTAATTGCATCAATAAGATCACTTCTTCTGAAATACTGATTTAAATTGAACTCTGTTCTTGTATCTGAACTGTACTGAACAACTCCAACTCTCGTCTTCTCTTCCCCAATGTCAAAAGCTGATACAAGGGCAACCATGAAGTCCAGAATATATCTGAAGTTATTTCTCCCTACACTCCACGAACCATCTACCAGGAAAACTAAATCTGTCATTGCACTTATGGAGCATCCTGTAAGATACACACACACACACAAAAAATTCTCTGTTAGCAAATGAGCAATTGCATTCTTACAAATCAGTGAGAAATGTCTGACAGAAACTTAGTAGGTAAAAGCCAAAACAAGCAGATATCTAATAGATTGATATTCTTATCTGGAATATCTTACTTGAGACACATATATTTACATATATGAACACCCATACGAGCCTTCTAGGTGCCATTGCCAAAAGACAACCGTCACCTGGATATTCAGTTTTGAGAACTCTCTCACACTGTTCCACAAGATCTGTTATGCCACAGCAGATGGAAACTCACATATAAAACTTTTTGCAACAGTTTGATGTTATGGAAACATTTCATTTTGTTACCACTTCTACTTTGAACCTTTATCTCCCCATAATAGCTGCACAGGTTCTTCTGCAATGCCGTTTATCCACAGCACAATGTGTTTTGTTAATATGACTACGACAGTCATGGACTTGCTCAGATTACTTGCATGAAATTCTAGTTTCAGTACCAACTTTGCACCTTTTTCTTTCAATGCAGCTCTAAATTCCTTCCGTCCCAGTCTCTTCCCAAGTTTTCTTAACTCTGGACAATTTTACAAGTTAACTTTACTGCTAGGTAGCACACGAACACAGTTTAATTTTAAGGGGCCCTAGAGCTAGATGTCCTTTATCTCTAAAATGTCAGATAAGTTGAAAGACAGAACACCTTACTTTGTAATTGAGCTTCAACCTTCTTTTCCTCTGGTATCCCTGGACCACCTGTCTGAACTGCACAAAGAACAACATAGAGAGAATTAATAGAGGAAATGAGGTTAAATTTGTTAACATCAAAGAAAAGCATGTAGGGAATTAGAGACATAAATATAGCAAGCCTCAGAACATGAAAATATAAATGCAAGTCATGAATACATCATCTGTACTTACAGATTTGACAACATAGCATTCAAAGCAACACAAAATACATAAAATGAAAATAATTAAGAATTCTCTGTACTTGTACATCTTGTAGAAAAATTTCCTGAAAATTAACTGCAACACCACTGGGTAAAATACCAATATTACCCCTCTTTAACACATAGGGGAACTCATCTAAGTAATTTTCCTGTGGTTGGTTGGGAAGCCTAAGACATGTGACAAAATGCGTCATAGAAGATAGTCTGCTGTGCTTGATGTTTTTATTTAATTTGATTTATTTTATGCTTTATTTAATTATTAATAAAATATTTTTAAATAAATTCCGTATTTTATTATGCATATAGATATATTCTGCCATATTTTATTGTTTTATGAAGGTAGTTTAGTCAGACTCTTTTGTTACTGAGTTCAGTAAGAGTCTTTCCCTTGACTTCAGTAGCTGCAGTTTATAAGAAGTAGGTTTAGCTCAAAAGAACCAGTGGCCTCCTGAAAAAAATTCTATAGGGGTTGTCTGATGTAATACATCCATGTTAGTCTCCTCTTATCTTTTGCAAATTATCCCTGCTTCTACTAGGAATGGTGCTTGACGGAAAAAGGCTGTTCAGACAGCTATGTCGGATCAGAGTTTAGGAATGTGGCAATTTTGCTGAGCAACTGGAACAAAGCCAGGTTTTGTGAATGACCACTCAGTTATCTTACTCAATTTTCTAATTTTATTACAGGTACTTACTTGTCAGTTGGCCAAAAACAGGTAGACTCTCCTCCCTTTCATCATATGAAGCTATTGATACAACATACTCTACATCAGGTATGAGATCTGATAAGACAGTTTGGGTAGTGCTAGGTGAAAGAGTAAATTCTTTAGTAGGCCCATCTGCAACAAATATGTAAAAAAGTTAATGCAGCCTTTGAATCCAGTCATATCAAGGACAAGTTGATCACAAAAAAAAAAAAAAAGCAACAGAGAAGAGTCTATCTGAAATTCAATTATAATTTTAGAATGATACACTTTCTTTTTTCCTGAAGTATGAATTTTGAAACATGAAACTTCAAACTAATCTGTTTTCAATAGTTAACAAAATTACCAAAGTATTTAATGAATTCCAGGAAATTTGAAACTTAAAACACACATACAAAATGTACTATCATCTAACAAATCATGGTTCAGTTCAGATTCAATATCACTTTTACACTGATTATTTCTCAAAGTGAAATAGAATGGATGTCTTACACAGCCATTATCGAGAAGTCATATGACATCGTTGCATCGTTAACTGACACATGAATATTTCACCTGGGAGAAGTACTTGAATGAAGTACAATACAATTCTCTAAGATAAATGCATAGAAGAGGAGCAGAGTGATGATTCTACCTTCTTTTTGCTCCTTGCAAAGGAATAGCATCCAAAACTTAGTACTCACAGTCCCCCAAAGGGTAAGCATTATGATAAGAAAGCCTCTAACTTGGAACAATCACTGCTCCTTCCTGTATGCCCTTTGCTGCTACCCAGGCTTGATCACAAACTTCAGAAAGATGTTAATAGCTACTCTCACACCCAAGTTAGACATAAGCCAAAATAAACCCAAGCTTTCAAAAAATTTAATAACATATGAAAATTTTACAGAACTCACCATTTGTTGGAACCACAGTTATCCTGTAACCCACTATTGCATCTGGTGGCCTTTTCCATGTCATTTGAACATTACGTTCATCTATAATTGTAAAATTCAAGTCTGACGGTGGATTAACTGCAAAAGATTTATACCAGGTGGATGTTTAAAAGTTTGAACAAGCTTTGGCAAACGAATAAATAAAATAATGTTGAGCAAAGCTTACTAAAATTGTCTTTGCATAAATTTGTTTCCAACAAATATAAAGATATGTTGTTGGAAAAAGAGTAAAATAAAAGCTGACAAAATATGACAAAACATCAAAGAGTATACGCATTACAGAGGACAGCACAGAACATATGTTTCTTGAGTTGCCAAGACATTCAAGAATGGCCAGCAAAATCAAGCACAATAGAAAACACATTTTGATACAGGTACAACGAGTTCACAGATAATCACCACATATGCAAACGTTTCACATAACAATTAAGGGAAATTTTTTTACATGCTGGGTGCAATCCGTACAAGCATGCCAAATCACAACCTGCTTACAATATCATGAGATCATTTAGGACATTGAGAACACAGTACTCTTCTTAATTAGACATTGATCAGCTTTTTAATGTAGTCTCTGCATAGTCATATTTCTTATCAATTTCACTGAATCTAGAAACTTGGCAGAGAAAAAAAATATTTTAAAGAATACAGGAAAAGATTGGTCATTTAATGTTCAATAAAACAATTTCTGTTAGGGTCCAGATACAAATATACATGTAAAATGTATATCAGTAATAAGGATACACTGATGTATCATTTTATTTCAAAATATGGAGAGCTCCACCCTTTGTTCCTAGAAGTCACTAAAGTGACATACTTTGCAGACGGCTGCAAAGGATTCAGGAACTAAGGGGATAATCAATAGGGTCAGTAATGGTTGCAATTTGCTGAAATATTTAGGCTGATGCGAAAGTTCACAAAAATAAGGTTCTACCTGTTTACACCAGATTGCTGTACAATTTCAAAGGTGTAAACTATTGTTTTCATGTTCCCTTTGCAGCAGGTGTACCCATACTAGTAGTGGCATTTTAACATAAAATGCCAGTATGGTTCCAAACAATACAACGGTTAATTATGAAAAGACAACATCAATGTATATTTATGGACATTTATTTTACAGAGTTTATAGGAAACAGCAAAGAAGGCACCAGTGATCTGAATAAATGACTGCAAATAAAACTTGTAGGAGCTGATGACAGAAGTAACTGAACAGTACAGAAAGAAATAGTTTACATACGCTATTTTGCAGCATCATGCATATGTAAATGAAATGTTGATTATTATTTTTTTAGCTTCCCACGATGGACAAAAGCCTCCATGTACAAGGTTCATTACACAAAGAGGTTTCATAAATATTTTATAATGATATTCTCTTTGTAAAATTGTCATGCTTATTCATGCAGTATTTTACTGACTCACTGTCAGTGCATGGTAGGTATATTATATATTATTGTTTAAATAAGTCTACAAAGTAAGATTAGATTCAGCCATACTTTCCTTAACTACTTGTGAGACCGTTTTGCAGGCATTTTTAATACACTGATCTTCTCTGTTTCATGGAAGATCTCCATCGTATGTCAGATTTTGTTTCGATTTTGGACATAATTTAAAGAGCAGATAAAGAAATAAATGCTAGAATGTATACTTATGAAAAGACACTGTCCAACTGCAATAAATAATATTGAGTTCAACCAATTGTGTAGGCATTTTTTACCTTCTAATTTACTGTCATTTCCAACCATAGGATAATATGGCTTTGTAATACTGATACAATAGATACGCTAGTACTGAAGTAAATGTTATTTTTCCTATTGTCCATACACAGGCAGTGAGATTAGACCATTAACCTGCATGCACAGTTTATTCATCATTCAGTTTATGAGTATCACAATGCTAGAGACAGCAGGGTAGTTACTTAGTATCAAAATCATGCAACACGTGTTAATAGTAAAATATATTTAATGATAAGAATATCATTATAAAATATTGTTTCAGTAGCAATGGCTCAGGACAAATTTAATGCAAAGGCAGAGACAACTGACCTGAGCATGCTTTTAAAAAAAAAATTCAGTACATGGAAAAAATAGCGCCACCAACCTTGCAAGTAAATTGGCATGTTGCAGCAGAGACTTTAGGCTTTAACTGCTGAAGGACAGCAGCAGCCCAACTGTTGATATCCAAATGACCGGATTCCAGATAAACTGAAAAAACTGACTGTGAGGAAAAGTCTTTAACATTTCAAAGGATTTTAATCCATTTTATGAAAATTCAGATGTAGATCTTGGCAGGTAACAAGAACACATCGATATATAAGTGACATATCCGTTCATCCAGGTGTTCACAGCCTTTTAGAACAATGGCGTTGCAGGGGACCTCAGAAAGTCCCCTTGTCCATCCCATGGCCAAGGCATGATCAGCTACCCCATGTCATTCCTGACATGTTTGCTCAGATCATTCTTAAAGACCTCCACTGTTGGCAAGACTGCCAGCTTCTCACAGAAATTACTCCAATACCTCTCTCCCTTTATCATAATCAAGTTATTCCTGACACCTAACCCCAGTGTTCATTGCTCCCATTAAAATCAAAAAAGGAACCTCGACTGAGTGAAAAAAACAGCCAGTTTGGATCCAATGTCATCAAAATATCTTCTGAGTGGCCTGTGAGCTTGTGATACTCAAACAGAACCTCCAAAACACCCATGGACCTTCACAAAGGTCAAATTTCACCCGTGTGAAACCAGCTGCCGGGTGTAGACCAAACCATGATCACATAACAAAGAGCAGGAAGTTGACCTGAAGTACAGCAAAAAGCTTAGATGACAAAAAACTTATTGCGATAATCAAACAGGGTAACCATTATTCCACCTTATTAAAATTCTTCTTCCAGAAGGGAATTCACCACTGAAAAAATAACACAGCTTTAATATGGAATCAGATCAGAATTCTAGGAGCAAAATGCCCCTGATTGTGGTGGGAGTTTGTCCCATTACAGAGACAAACCTTAAACTCCACTCTACAAAGGCTTACATGTGAGCACAGCTTTACTCAAGCAAGTAGTCTTGATGTTGGATCACTTGTGTAAGCAAAGTTGCACATACACTTACTGTGTAGTGACACTGCTGATCAGTCTGATCCTGCATCCATCAAAATCCATGCCAAACTGACTTGTCAAGGTACAGGATCATGATCATAACACATGATGGCATTATGGCCTTAATGCAGTGATTCCACTGTTGATGCACAGAGATGTACAGCTCTCCTACACGTTTCCAGACCAGTAAAACAAAAACTTGCTGCATGACAATAATGTTTACACAGTTAATGTCCACCACTCTTAGAACTATGATATAACTTCCTCAATCAGATATTCTATCTTATGTACCACAAAAGAAAAGAAAAATCAGACATAATATACTTAATTCATTGCCACTCCTTGTGTTATATACATGTATAGTAACGGTGTATTTTCTGAAACAAAAAATACAAAGCAAGGCATTGTTCCCATACTACGTATGTCTTACACTATCTTGTATTACTTAACAGGTAATACAAACCTAATATACAAAAGTCTACAGCTTTTTACAGATAACACAATGTGACTGCTAGAGGATACCAATGAATATCTTAACAAAACAGAAGTAAGATATAATCAGAAGATTACTTAAATAATTTAAATCTAGAACCAGACTTAAAAGTGATATAACTTGGAAGCAGCTGCCATCCATAATCCCTTTTGTGAAAAAAAATCTGCAATTCCATCACTGGAAAAGACTCACAATAAATAGCACGCAAAATAACACATTAGCCCATGCTGAAATGACATACAGGCCATGGAAGGTGAAGAATAAGTCCAGCCTTGATCTCGCTGAGATAAGCCCTGCTAAGGCAGGAAGAGGCCAAAACTCCTTGTCTACTATTTTCTTCATATATGGCATGGATTTGATACAACTAATTAGATCACTATTCCAGTCAAGCTCCTTTGAAGTCATTGTTGCCAATGCAAATGGGAGAAAGAAGGAGCCGTAGCCTAACGATGTAGTAAAGAGCAGCTTCTCAACCCTGTTAGATATTCATTGCCAATCACAACACAGAAACATTGCCACCTGTATGTTTGCTTTTTTTTATTTTATACATGTATATGAAATTTCTTCAAAATACAAGATATATAGCTCATAAGTGTATTTTGAGAAAAAGTTATTTAAATATAGATACCTACACATATAAAGATGTATGTAACTAAATACAATTGCATAGGTACACACACACACTGCATGCATAGTTATCAAATCTTATGTGTGGTTGTACGTATATATATGTGTGTGTGTGCGCGTGTGTATATATACACACACTTTGCTTCTAATTAGCAGTAGGAAAAACAGGGAGTTATAGTCACCTTCATATATATACAAATTTCAGTTTCACACATCAATCTTCATGGTGCTCTCTTTAAGAACTTGGAAATCAATGGCTAGTTTCTCAAAGACAGAAATCAGACGTCAAAAGGTAATAAAATAATGGCCCTATCAACCAGTTCCAAAGCTGAACAGGTGGGTAACTTTGAAAGTTTCAGCTATCCCGGATCACCTCTGAACCATTCGGTCAATGAAAATTAATGTACTCAACACAAGCTTTGTTACATGAGAAACTTTCTAATCCTTTGTAACTGCTGTGCTGCAATTATTTCTCATTTACTGTGTTGCATGTCCTGGAGACAGATTTTTCATCGGACAAACCTTTTCCTGCACTACACAAAGGCCCCATGCTTAGCTCAGTGATGCCCTCCTTCCCTACGTCCAGCCTAGAAAACAGACTTTTCTAGGTATGAATCAGTTCCTGAAACATTGAAAAGTCAGCACCTCCACATGTTCAGAGAGTTCACACAGAACCAATGATTTCCTCACTCCTTTCCTATGCCTTTGAAAATTCCTCTGTATTAAGAAACACAACACATCACACAAGCCATGACATCATCATAGCACTACCTTGAGATTATAACTAACAAGTTATTCACATAATAATCTACTTGGCTTAACTATGACTAAAACAATGAAAAAAATTCTTATCTAGCGAAAGGACCTCCTGGCTCCTTGTGATCACAGATGGAAAAAATACTCTGACAGAAAGAAATCTTGACAGAAGGACACACAGGGAATGCACTGCCATATTGCTGGACTAAAAAGGCAAGAAACAACTGAAACGAAATATAGCATTACACACAAGAAGATTAAGCTGAGAAGAGAGATGTCAGAAGGATTGCAAAATAAAACGAGAAGAATTTCACTGCAAAAGAGCAAAAACGCTGAGCATGAAAACAGATTTGCTTCCTTGTCCAGAGTAAGCAACCAGCTTCCCCAGTGAAATGCCATGAATGCATTTAGACTATATGTTAGTTTTACCCCCTCTATTGCTACAGTGAACGTCCAACCAGACGTTCTTTGCTGTATCTCTGTAGAACAGCTCTAACACCGTTACTGCAGCTCACTGCCTTGCCAACAGCAACAGAGCACAGCTTTCACAAAGGACTTGCAGAGCAGCTGGGATGCTGATGAAGAACCAGTTCCATCCTGGAAGATTTAGGACTCTACGAACAGCAGTATCAGATAAACACCAGATCTACTCCCAGGGGAGACTGAAAAATGAAAGCTGAAGGAAGGCAGAAAAATAGAACCAAGCTTTTCCTTCCCTCTGTTTTCACTCCATTTTCCCCTCTCATATCAACAATATTTACTACATCAAAAGGCTCTCTCCGTTATCCTCCTCTCACTTTTTCACCCCACCAAGTGTCTAACTACACCTCGGGGAAAGAAAATTCAAGCTGCATCTCTTGTGAACACCACAGGGAGAGCCAAAAGAACAAACAAAACAAACAAACAAGCAAAAAGACAGAGACAGGACTGACTGGTGGGGGAAGAGCTTTGACACGACATAATCTGAAAGTTGGAAAAATAGACTAAAGGACAAATGTCCACAGGAGAAAGTCAGTTCAGCAGACAGGATTTAAGTTGTAATGATACCAAAACTGAAGTAATTAAGATTCAACATGCAATTTATAAGATGATGCAAAATCCAAGCACAAAATTAAAACCGTGTAGAAGGATGATCAGTATAGTAAAAACAAAAAACACATTGCAAAAAGCTCTATGAAAGCAGTTCCCACCAGAGCAAGTCCTAAGGTTCTCCTAGCTTTGAACTTCCATTTTCAGCAACACTATTTCTCATTGCATTATCAGCACCTCTATTTCTCACTGCACTTCCTACTCAAGACACTTTTCTGCTCTTACTTCAAAACTCGGGAGCTAGAAGAAGTTTTTCTTAGAAACCTGATCACTCTCAACTTGATATTTCATTTAATACACATTTCCAAACACAGAGTAACGTTAAGTCCTGTCCAGGAGCACTCTGTAACTCACAAGATTAGGCTTTGTCCACTCTTTTGCTTAGCAATGGCACATCCTTCCACATGAGATCTAAACAAGCTTAGCCAGCCTATCTGGTAATGCATCTAATTTCACTGTTATAAAATAATTGTGTGCTTCTCCAAATACATTTTTGTAGCTTTCATTAACAGTGTGTGAACTATGACTGGTTTAGTCCACACTACAGCTAAATAAAACACTTTAACTTGTATTTCTAAAACCAAACTACTCCATAAATGTAATCAGTGGTGCAGGACAACAGCAACATTACTCCAGCTCTGAGTGAGCTCCCTCCAAAGATGGGGAGGAATGCACAAACACATCAACTTCCCTCCTCCATCAAAACTGTACACTTTCTCTGCTTTCTCTGGCACAGTGGTCCTACATTTCAAGTACAACTCCGAAATGACTTCAAATGACCTTTTTCGGTTCCTCAGCCAACAACAACGCAGCGCAAGAGGAAGGCAGCGGGCCGATTCTCTCCTAGGGTGACCAGATGCTGTACTGGTGGCAGAAATGTCACCTTTTTCCAGAAAGCCAGTGTACTTTACATCTGCGTGCCCCAAGCAAGCATGCACCACTGCTGGGGAGATGTTTCTGACACACTGTGCTATTGGTAGCCATCAGCCAAGGCGACCGGGTCCAGACACAGGAACTTGCAGCAGGCCACGATCAGAGAATTTGTTTCAGTTCAATACAGAAAGAGAAGGGGGAAAAAAATGTATTATCAGATGCTGGCTTCTGTTTTCTTCCAGTAAATCCAAGGGAGTTCGCACCCAGCGGTTCCGCTCACTCTGCGACTGAGTCAAGTCCTGGAGGTCAGATGAAGTCATTTCAGCACAGGACATCCAGTGTCTCTAATTCCCCTGGCAGGCACTCCTGGCAAAAATACTGTTACTGCGACCAAAGCCATGCAGCTTGTGCAGAGGGTGGGGGGGATGTTGCCCCCACGCTTGCTGTTAATCTGCCAAGGAGGCAACTGCACCAGGGCCACTCTGAGCTGCACTGTGGTGGCCATGATGGGTCTCCCCAGGTCTCCATCCCCGCAGCTGGAGGCAGGACACTGTCATAGGCTGACAGGGACCTCAACCTCCAGCGAGACTGGGCTGGGGCAACAATGAAGAGAAGAAGACCTCTTTGGGTGTGATGGCACCACATTCATGCCAGAGCCGTGATGCCCCGGCCACCCTTCAGCAGCGCCCAGGATGTATGTCATGGAGGTGGAGGCACCTCCCCAGGGAGTGTCCCCCAGGTCAGACTCACCGCAGAGGTCGAAGCATCCCCAAGGGAGGGTCTGGCCGCCCCGGGGCTCGGCCAGGGGTCGCCGAGCCGCAGCACACCGGCAGGCTGCCGGGGAGGAGGCGAGGGGTCCGGCCGGACAAAACACACAGGCGCAGGGAGCCAGGCTCTGTTGGAGCATTTTATTTCAAAGCTGCAGGTTGTTGAGTGGTGGGTTTTTCGTTTTGTCTCTCAACACAACCAAACGAGGCTCTACGGCACAGAGCCCAAGCGGTCACGGTCCGTCAGCGGGGCAGCACCGCAGGCGCTGGCCATGCCAGGCTGCCCACCACCGGCAGCAGTGGCACCAGGCTCCTCGGGGCACTGCGCCCGGGCGGCCCGCGTCCTGTTTGTGTGCCGGTGTGGACAGCACACCAGAGAGACAGAGAGAGGGAGCTACGGTCCGGCTGACTAGCCGGGAGAAACAGAGCACAGAAGAAGCTGGGCAAGGAAGGAGAGGCGTTTCTCTGAGGGAGAGAAAGAGAGAAGGCGAAGTAGTTACACTCAAAAAAGAAGAGGGAGAGAGCTGGCAGCTCAAGGCTGGTCGGGAGGTTTGCTGGTCAGCGGGGCACCGGGGCAAGGGGGCAGGGAGGGGAAGGTTACCTTCAGCCTCGATGGAAGAGAGGAGGGCGGCTGCACACAGAGCAGCAACTGCCGAGCACAGCGCTGTCTTCATATCTGCCCTTTCAGATCACAACAACATGAATGAATCTGCAGTGATGGGGAGGGGGGGAAAGGGAGAAAGGAGAAGGAAATGATACGCGTGGATTAGAGGATTGCGTGGGTGTATTCATGAAACATAAAAAAGACGAACCGTGGATTTCGCTTTGTTCCCTTATCCCCAGCCTCCACCCAAGGGGACCAGGTTGAAACCTCTAGACTTGAAAGCCGTCCAAGACGATGACAGATCTGCATGACTAACTGGAGAGTCTCGTCTCGCAATAATGTGCCTTTTGTTGCTGAACCCTTTCCAATCACAGGAAGCACACAAGGCTTTAACTTAGTTGGGGTTAATTTGATCAGGGAAAGCGCGGTGAAGATCCGTGCCTCCGCACGGGCGGGAGCCAGGAGGGAGCTCCATGACTTCATCGCCGAGTGTGATGATAGCTAATTCAGAGGTCATTCCTGCCTTGGATCAGCTAAATGTCTCTTTCAGCTGGGAATTTTATTCAGCTCCTTTTTCATAACTGTTGAAGCACTTAGTTAGCTGTGTTTTAGTGGTCTCAAGGCAGTTTGGAAACTGTAATAAAACTTTTTTTGAGGAGTTCTGCCTACAAATGTGCTATTCTTCATTTCTTGAGGGTCTGAAATAGATTATACAGAAGTGTGTGTAACATACAACTGAAACTTGACACGTCTGTCTAGCCATGATGTTTCAACATCTGATAATTCATTTACACGTCCTGAGAGAAAATAGATTTAAAATACACTATAAAAAGCGGGCAGGAGAAAGAGTCTCACAATCATTGCAGGTTGTCTAGCAAAATAGATGGGATTAGCCCAAGTTAATGGTTCCAAATTGCAAGCAGCTATACCTTCATAACTATATAGTCACGTCAAATTACTCCAAATTACTCCAGCAAAACTTCCAAATTATTTCCTTGTCTAAGTAAAGGCTAATATGAGCAGTCCTCATCGCATATGTGCATAAGCATTTCTAAAGTTTGGGTTTTTCTAGCTCAGGAAGTAGGGGAGGGGTAACTCATTTGAATAAAGTCATAAATGCATCATACATCATAATTAGGCTGGAGGAAAGAGAATTCTAAAATCAACTAAGCAACAGATTTTATTGGGAAGGTGCCAAGAGCAAAACAAAAGAAAAATATGTAAATCATTAGTCTACAGAAACAGCTGAAGGGGAAAATATTCTTCTGCCATCTAGAGAAATAACCAACAAGGCACATTTAGTGGGTAGAGGCTATGGGGATCCAGGAATTTCCCAGTTACTGACACTGGACTTAACAGGCGTCTGTCAGACAGCTGTATATACTTGCCTCAGCCAAATGCCTTTACTGCACATAAAAATACCAAGAGCTCGAAGAAAAACTAAGCAATGGTTTCAGTCCAATGATACCTCTGGCGGGTAAACAGAAGAGTAATATTGACCATAACAACTCCCCGACACTAACACAAGAAAGACCAAGAGTAGCATTAAATCGTCCTGAAAGCTCCAAGATCATATCACTGCTCTGCGTGGGAAACGGCTGTCCCTAAACACATCTACCGCATTCTGCAGGGAGTTTAAGGATTGCTTAAGCTCAACATAAACGGACTGTTCTCCTGGAAATCTTGTGTGGGCTTGGAGTGCCATCTTTTGATCCTTTGAAGAGCAACAGAAATTAATCATCTCACAAAGGCATCTAGGAGGTCACTACTGCTGCAGGTCTACCATTCCTGATAGACATTTTCATTCCATGAAATAAAACGTCTCAGCCAAAGCATTCATTTGCCCACCTAGGAACTTCGGTTCCTTCTTGCAAACTTAGGTGTGTAAAGGAAAGCCTGGAGGTGGTGAAGGAAAGGTCCTCTCGCTGGCTCAGCAGGGACACATGCAGACTTTGTGTCAGGACTAAAGGTTTTCTCACTGATCTTTAGAGACCACTTTTAAACAAACAAAAAAAAAAAAAACCAAAAAAAACCCCAAAAAGCTTTCACCAGTGCCAGTCCAGTCTCACACTAATTCAGCCTACAAAACCTCAGCCAAAGCATTTCTAAACCGCGCAGTGCATGACATTTACCGCTTTCAAGAACAAAAAGATAA